GATTTTATTTATTTATTTTTTTCCCCCCAAAGCCCCAGTAGATTGTTGTACGTCATAGTTGCACATCCTTCTAGTTGCTGTATGTGGGACGCAGCCTCAGCATGGCCGGAGAAGCAGTGCGTCGGTGCGCGCCCAGGATCCGAACCCAGGCCGCCAGCAGCAGAGCGCGCGCACTTAACCGCTAAGCCACAGGGCCGGCCCATGAATGGTCATTTTAAATCTAAGATCACAAACCTTATAATGGGCCCTTGATGCAACTATATCATACTATCTTTTCCTAGACCAGTTCTCAAAGTCTGGTTCTCAGGCCAACAGCACCAACTTCACCTGGGAACGTGTTAGAAATGGAAATTCTTGGTTGGGTTCGACCCCAGGCTTGAATAAGAAAATCTGTGGTTTAACAGGGCTTCCAGATGAGTCTGATACACTGGGTCTCAAATTTTAGCATGCAAAAGAATTACCTGTAAAGCTTGTGAAAAATGGGATTGCTGCACCACACCCTCAAGAGTTTCTGGCCCAGGTCTGGGGTGGGCACCAAAATTTAGCATTTTTAACCAGTTCCCAAGTGATTGCTGTTGCTGAACCAGGGACCACACATTGAGAACCTGTCCCTATACCAATCACTTTCTCACTTTTTAAAGATAACTTTCTCCTTTCTCTTCAAACTTCCTACATCTCCTCCTGAAACTGACTCTCAGCTGATGACCCTGGTTAGTACTTCATTGGTGGAATATAAAAGCAATCAGAATGGAACTTCCCATGCTCCCACCAATTACATCTACCTCCCTACCTGCGTCTGTGCTCATATACACTACCTTATGTCCAGTTACAGGAGACAAACCCTCCACACTCCTATCTAGCGCAAGCTCTTCCACTCGGACATTAGATCCCATTGCCTACTTAAGGAAATAAATTTAGTTAATTCTCTGATCTCTTTCCTACATCATCAAAATTTCCCTTTTTACTGGATCCCCATCAACATTCAAACATGCTGATATTTCTCCCCTTGTCAATACCCCCCAAACCCAAACTTATTACTTGACCTCATTTCTCTCCTTCCTTTTATAATAAAGCTCCATAAAGGAATTGTCTGTACTTGTTCTTTCCACATTTATCTCTTCCCACTCCGAACAGTGATACCTAAACTGAGATTTGAAGGGTCTATAGGGAATGGCTAGGTGTGGGAGGTGGGACTGTGCAGAGAGAGTTTCCTAGGAAGAGGAGTGTAAGGAGGTAGGAATGAAGGAGAGGAAAATGATGGGAGATTAAGTTGGAAAGGAACAGGGACTAGATTAGTCAGGCCTTAAAAACCACATTAAGGTATCCAGACTATTCTTAGACAAATTTGGTGCTGTTAAAGGTTTTTTAAAGCACTTGAGTTGCACGATTAGATTTCCATTTTGGAAAGATCACTGGCTAGGATGTGGAAGAGGGATTTACAGCAAAATTAACGTCTGGAAGATCAATTAAGAGTCTGTTACAGTACAGATGGATTAAATTGAGTTAGTGGCAGTGGGGATGGTGAGTACTAGGATTCTTTGAGAGACATTTGGAAAAGAATGGGGAGGACTTGGCAATTGCATTATTTTATTTGTCTGCACTGAAAGGGGCTGGAGTGGATTTTGTAGAGAAAATAATTGGTGAGGCTTCAATTGAAAAGTGTTCCAAACACACACAATAAATTTGTGGATGAAGCATTTTTGATTTGTAAAAAAAATTACTTGGTTTTGCATAGCTAGCAGAACCTATTAATAGGTAACTATTAATTAGAATCCAGTGAAACTTTTCCCACTTAATCTAGAGAAGTGACCTCTGATCTAAATTGGAAGGTTGCTTTTAACAGAATGACATGCCAAACCATAGACTTTCATTTTCAGCTAAGACTAAGAACTATTTACTCGTAACCTCCTAACAGAGCTGTGAAGAATTAGTATCTTACTAGAGTTTACAGAGATCTTTCTCCAGAATTCTACTAAGTCTGGCTATTGCTTTGAGTGCAAAGTGTCTCTTTTAAGAGTTCATACGCAGGTAGCTGAAATTTCCAAAACTTTTTAGGAAGGATACTTTGTTATCATTAGTGTTGCCAAGAATTGATCATTGTTTTCAATTATTTGTATTAATGCTTTTCAGTGATACATTTTACTTTTGCTTTATTTTTAATTTGTTGCAGGTCATTTGGGTAAGGGCCACAAGAAATACAAAGTTGCGGACTACTGATCTAGACTCTAGAGTCTTCATGGGATTACAGAAATGGAAATGATCTTAATACACAATTTAGTCCTACTCCTATTTTCTAGCAAAACAAAATAAATTTCAAGTTAATAAATATAATTTTTAGAGAACATAATTTTATTTAAAGACAAAAAACTACAAAAAACTTGACAGTTGGATATTTCTCCCTTTACTCCTGCTGTACACATTAGACTGTTTACAAGGCTTATTATCTAAAGAAAATCATATGAATAATTTACTATTTAACCATGTTAGTATGAATACCTAAGGGGAAAATAATTCAATAATTTATTTGTATTTTGAATCTTAATAGAAGCATATGATATAAAATGCAAAAGGCTCAAGAGTATACAGTGAAAAATAAGTCTCCCTCTTACCCCTGTGCCCTAGCCATTTTACTCCCTCTCTTCCTAGAGACAGTCACTCTTTCCAGTTTCTTATGCATCTTTCCAGACATACGGGTCTGTGGGATGAAACAAGGGTCCTCTGCAGCAAGGCAGGGAGGGAACAAGACTTCTTCAACACGTGGTCAAGAGAAACACTACAGATATATATCTGGGCCAACCACATCTGAGTTAAAAAGACAGTACAATGGCAACAGGGATCTTAGTAATTTGTGGGCACAACATCAGCAAAGCTGCAAATGCCAGCAATATTCATCACAAGAGGTAGGATAATTTCTTGGATAAAAAAAAGTCTATATATACATTAAGTCAATAAATATTTATTAAGGGCTATTATGTATCAATATAAATTTCCAGTAAATGACTCTTATGAATCTAGGTTTTATGGATAATTTGTCAGACTTAAAGAACTACACCATTTCATAAGTGATTATTACCATTTGTACCTTATGTGATATGACCTAGTACACTTTGAGTTCATTTTCAATTCTTTTTCACCATTCAAAATAAAACAAATTCAAATTTCATTTTAAAATAGAATTTATTGAACACCATAGTGAATTCAATACATTAAAAAAATTGTTTTCCTTGTCAGTATTGGCACATAATGAAGAGTTTTAAAGCACTGCTAAATTCACACTTCAAAATTTTTAAATTTTAAATCATATTCCATAAAAAAATAAAGCCTAGTAGTGTTATAAAAGGATTACTTTACACTAACTTACATATCAAGATGTTAAAAAAAACTCCACACTCAAACCAATCGTCTCAGATGTAAAAATTCAATCATTTATATTTTTAAAAAGGTTCTCATTTGAACAAAACACAACAGAAGGTATAAAATAGGCAAAAACTACCTAAATTACACTGACTTACCCTACTGGGAAATCCTGCAGGCTAACTAGATAAACTTTAGATATTAAAAAAATCATTTCGCTTACTTTGAAAATTCAGTAACCCAAATCATGAGTACTATGCAATTTCTTTCCAATTCCAAAACATTGAGTAATGTTATTTACATCTCTTGAATTTCTAAAGTATCTTTCTTTCACGAAGCATAAAATGATTTATATTTAGTATTTATTATTTTTTTTTGTGAGGAAGATCAGCTCTGAGCTAACATCCATGCTGATCCTCCTCTTTTTGCTGAGGAAGACTGGCCCTGGGCTAACATCCGTGCCCATCTTCCTCCACTATACATGGGACTCCGCCACAGCATGGCCTGACAAGCAGTGCATCAGTGCGCGCCTGGGATCCGAAACCCGGCCGCCAGCAGCGGAGCGCACGCACTTATTAACTGCTACACCACAGGGCCGGCCCCTGTATTTAGTATTTTGATTTTATTTGCATTACCCTCCCCAACCCCCTAAGAATTATCCTCTGAGGTAAACAGCACTGAAAATAAATTTTTTAAATTTGTAGAATTGGTTATTTGGCATCATCTTGAATAAATTCCCAACTTTTTTCCTTGTTAATGGGAAAATGTAAAGCCTTTCAAACTAGTACATTCTACTAGTTTGAAACACAATTCCTGTGTTTTTGAAATCTCATTGGCTGAAATCAGGCAGAAATTTTAGAGACTAAGCTTAAATAAATTAGTTCCAACATTTTTTAGTCAAATGTAAAAATAATGTTTGCTTATACCTAAGGCAGAAATTGAAAGAGCAAAGGAAAATCAGAAAGCTCATTTGTATCTACTATAAATGTACCATTTTACTAAAATCTCTATGGACATATCACTAAAATCTATGAATTTTATGTATGAATGCCAATAATAGATGGGTTATAATTCTCTTCCTTCCAAAGAGAAATAAATCGCGGATTCTACTAATAAGGTATTGCTAATCTAAAAAAATCTAAAAGCTAGGAGAAAATATGTATTAGAATATCAAGGTCTTCCCCCACAAACTTCATATTTATCTTTGCTGAACTGAAATAAAAATCATCTACATTACAATGAGATATTTAGTGATTTGTTTGATAAGTTACAAAAATGTTCATAGGGAATTTCTAAGAAGTAGTACTTCTTTTTGCAGTAAGTAATAATACAATATATCTTATTGTTTTTAAGACATATTTAGGAAAAAACTAACTTTTCTTCCTCTTAAAGTTATTGGTGGTGGGAGAACAAGAGAGGAAGAAATTATACAGCCTTTTAAAGCCAAATTTTCATCTCCTCTGTCCTTTGTTCATTTTGATTCCCAAAATAAAATATTTGTGCTTTATTATAATTTCTCTAAATATTTTCATCCAGGTTGCTAGAAGAATTGTTTAAGTACAATACAAAGTTGATATTGAGGATGGAGAAACCTAAGGAATTCACTTTTTATTTCTTATTTGTATTTGGAATTCACTTTTTATTTCTTATTTGTATTTAATCAATAAGACTTGAATAGCAAACTAGAACAAGGTTTTACCACCCTAAAAACTACTGGTTGGATAAAATAGAACTTGTCTCAAAGAACTAAGATTTCAGATTTCTAGATGTAACATTTTCTTTAATATTCTTCATAAAATGTTGAGGCTTTGAATATCATAAAGCTGGGATGAGAGTGCAGATAATTTTACTACAAAAGCTGTATTTTGGCAAACATTTTATTGATATTATAAATGAAAACATAGTTGGAGCTTTAAAATGGCATTTAATCTGTTCTATCAGAGTCTGCCAAATAAATTAGATTCTTTGGAAAAAATTCAAACGATATTATGGAGGCAAAATTAAGATTAACCCTTACTTGTCAGATACTTACTTGTCATTTGCCATAAACCACAGAACCTATAAGTGTATTAAGTGGAGAGAGGGGCTGACTCTCGAGGTAGCTTCTCTACCTGCAATTTACTAAGCAAAAGTTAATTAAACAAAAGCATCTAATTCCCTCAAGTGCTAAATTCAGTTCAAACATCAAAAGTCTGATCCATTTTAAAAGGCATGAGCTTTATCTTTTAATCAGCTGACTGGCCTTAGAATGAAAGATCATAGATTTGTTCACATATCTTGTACTTTATTTGTAAAGATATACAAAATCCTGCTGCCCTTACAATCACTTGTCATTTGGGAATTTCTTAGAGAAAATGGAAAGATAATTTGACCCCTAACTTCCAAGATAACGTTCAAGGGCACATCTGAGATTTAGCAAAGAATGAGAAAGACTTTCAGGTTGGAAGGTACTAGAGTGATTAATTGGTCTAATCTACTCACTTCGCAGATGAAAAAACTGAGATACCAGTGTCTTGAGCTAAGATAATTTACTCAAACTCTTATATTGCAATTAAATTGAGACTAACATCCAGTCTCCTGTCTTTTGTCTCCAGTTCTTTCCTCTGAAGCACACTGTATATTAGTAAACCATCCTCCACCAAAATATTGAAAGGTTAACAGTGGTTTCCTATGGGAAAAGGAGTGGGAACCAGGGGAAAAAAGGTGGGGAGGGGATTGTTAGGGAATGTTACACTCAAAAAATGAACCATACGTATCAATATATAATTTGATAAGAAAAATAATTTTTACAAAATATCAAGGCTTAACATCAACAGAATCAACCTTCAGAGATCAGAAATACTATAGTGAAATTGAATGTTAGTGTAGAAATCTAAGCTCCATCTTTAAGGAAACAGCAGACAACTGAAAACTGTGGATTTTAGTTTTTGTATCCTTTTAATGGCTAGTTCTATATATTATGTTTCTCTATACCTGGAAAATATTCTAATATAATACATACGCAGTCTGAAGTAATTTAGGTTCTCAGGTTCTCAAGTTTAAAAAAGGATTGGAATTTTTAAAAAATTTATACTACAAAAATATGCATTTATATATATTCACAAATTGTATTTTTCTAACCTCTGCAGTGATAAAAGGTCCAAAATTTCATTGTTGAACTGCCTTCTTGCATGGTCTTAAACAGTTATTTCTATAGAGCATAAAATTTGCATAATTCTTTATAGTAAAATCTGTTCAGTAACTCACTTTGACAGAAATACTTTTATCTATCAGAGTTGAAAGAAACAGATTTCAGTAAGAAAAGTACAGGGGTGGGTCAAGACATTTTTTAGAAAAATATACTGTATATAATACATCTTGAAAATTACACAGACCATATACTTTTATTTAATGTGAAGGCACAACTTTAACATACTTAAAAGCAAATGTATTTTAATTATTTATGATGTAATTGTCAGTACCAGCTCTTAAAAATATATATTTGTAAGCATATCACTGAAGATTCTTTTGGATTGTGAATTCAAAAGTCAATTTAAAAAGTCAAAATCTATTTGTAGAAAATCAACTGACACGTTATTGCAGGTCCACATAATATTATTGTTGGACAATCTGTTCATCAGCAGTCACAGGGTTTTCTTCATTTGCTGCAGAGTCCAGATGGTCCATCATCTAGGCATAAATAAAAGATGTTAGGAAATGCAAATTTTCAACTTGCCCTCAATATTCACTAATTTGGAAAAAGGATTCTCAGTTTTTAAAAAAGACACAGAGTGCTCCATGGGACTGAGCACTCCTTTTGGAGCAATGTACTGGGTCAACATCCACCCTCCTAAGGACATGGTCAGGGTGACACTGAACCTTTCTGGAAGCCTAATCATTTGACTCAGGGCCAATTTAATAAATGTTTTCTCTGGATCTTCCACTATTTTCATTTCCCAATATGAATACTGCCCTTCATGGCAGTGGAAACTCCACTGCAAAAGGAAGATATTCCTGATCCTCCTTCCAGGACACTATTCCAAGCAGTGTCCACTAGTAGAGAAGGAAAAACTAAAATTGGTCCCACAAGTCACTGTAAGAATATCTGCTGGTTTGCGGACAGTGTAACCTGGTTGACACCTTGAACTGACCTTAAGATAATTTAAGAATGATACATGAAATTTTGGAAACATTGTATGACAAAAATTTCTACTAAAAACAAAATAAAATGAAAGTACTTAGAGGTCAAATGATATCTGAAAACAAAACCAATACATTTGCTATAGACTATTTAGAGGAATTACCACTTACACTTTTTTCAAATGATCACTTCAGCTCTGCCTGTATTCCCATAAAAATCTTTTCATATTTGGGAATGAAGGAAGAAGAAACCGCTTAAATATTTTCAGTGTTTTTACTCTGTTCTTCATATAAAATTACTTGAAAATAGTGAAAAAGTACTTAATGTCTTTGTGAAGATTGTCAAAGATTTTTAGATTAGTGATTAAATTTCAGTATTGTGATGCACTTTCTTCCTTCTCCTTTATCAAGAATTAGAAGAAGGAAAGACCAGCAAGATAAATGTTCCTATTTTTGTAAACTAATTCTAAAACCTTTAGTGTTTTTTCGAAGAGGAAGCAGAGAGAGGAATCATTTCCAAATGGGGTCTCTGGACTTGCCAGACAAGAACACAACATGAGCTGAGGCTCTCTGCTGATACCTGTCTCAAGTAATGGGGTCGGCTTCCAATACCCAAGCCTGCCAATAATCTATGGGTCATCTCAAGTCCCCAAACAATCAGTTTTGAGGTCCTCTATTTGCCACAGATATCCCCTAGATTAAGGTAGTTACATGTTCGTAGTACTTCCAAGGGAAAGAAAAAAAAAACAAACCAAATCATGACAGGTACCATTTATTAAGCATTTCACTACATGAAACACACAATGAAGTTGTTGAAGAGTTGATTGTAATTACAATTTAAGTGAAGGAGTGAGAGGAGAAGCATGTAAGATATATTTAGGCCCCTTTTCTTCTAGCGATTTAGAAGCCCTGGGTGTTAAGAGGTCGGAGCTGTGGAGAGAGAACTGAGGCAGCCTTAGCAGAACGGGGGTGGGGAACCCTCTTTCTTCCCCAAGACCTGCTTACCCTGCTAACGGCAACCTAATGAAATGAGAGCATAATACCCTAAATTATATAGTTTTTATTTTTTTGTGAGGAAGATCAGCCCTGAGCTAACATCCATGCCAATCTTCCTCTTTTTTGCTGAAGAAGACCGGCCCTGAGCTAACATCTATTGCCAATCCTCCTCCTTTTTTTCCCTTTTTCTCCCCAAAGCCCCAGTAGATAGCTGTATGTGGTAGTTGCACATCCTTCTAGTTGCTGTATGTGGGACGCGGCCTCAGCATGGCCAGAGAAGCGGTGTGTCGGTGCACGCCCGGGATCCGAACCCGGGCCACCAGTAGCAGAGCACGTGCACTTAACCACTAAGCCACGGGGCCGGCCCCCCATACCCTAAATTGTAACATGCCTCTTCTTTCCTAATCCTCTGGTACCTCATTGGCACTGTAATCTAATCCCTAAATATAGGAATATATTAGTTAAAAAAAAAAAAACTTTCAAAATCAACTTATGGAGACATAAACATGTCTACTCTGTATTTACTTTCCTTTACTGACTTTTCAATAAAAACAATACAGAGACATAAAGAGCAAACTTGATATAGGTTAAAAACACAATAAAAATTAATATAGATGAAAATTAACTGGCAAAATTGCTATAAATCATTTTTCATAATATTTGTAAATAGGCAAGCTCAATTTGGAAAGATCTCCTCTGAAATTGGGTCAGCTAACCTGGCATTTACTGGTAGCTCTGCTTATTTATAGTTGAACCAATCTCCAGAAAGGCTAATAAAACTCCTATTAAAGCAGGGTTAACTGGAGAGTTGTTGATACTAAAGCAGAGTTGTTCTAAGTATCTCAGTATTTTGACTTGTCAGTTACAGCTTGTGACTTCTAAAAATAATTATAAGCACTAGTGACATTTAACAGAGACAAACCCACGTTTACTGCACATCAACAAACTGAAAACCTACTTCCCACCCAGAGTAAAATAGCCCATTGGAGGTTGCTGCCTAAATCCAACTCCACTGATTTGGGATTAGTAACAAAAAAATTCCCTGATGACTTCTCCCCTAATTGTTCTATATGCAAAAGTAATTGTGCCACTTCTTGATTTTTCTCTCTAGAGAAAAAACACCTTTATTTACTCTACACTAATGAGAACTAGGACTTTGAGTAAAATCAAATAAATAGAACTGAATACTGCAGCTCTTGAAGCATTCCAGAAAAAAAGTTCATACAAAATATGGTATAACTAGCTTTGAGCTAGAGAAAAGGATATACAATTAAGATTTCCAAATTAGTATTATTTTAGCGAAATTCTATAGAAATGTTATTTCTTTTGATCAGAGAAATTCATGGAAAGGGCTGAAAGACTCTAGGCAAAATACTAAAGTATTTCTATGAAGCCTCTTAAGTTTCAGCAACAAATGAGGTATAACTTGCCCTTTGAAAACAGCATAGAAAGGCTATCAGGGCTACCCATGACATTCAAAAACTCTCCAGTGGAAAGTCCTGCTTTTTACCATCACTATTCTTACCCTCAACTCTAATATCAGGCACTAAAATGAATGAAATGATTAAAAAGCATAAACAAACGTGCCATCACCTTAGATTTGGACTTTATTTTATATTACTTGTTTTATATTTGATTATTTCAAAACAGCAGCAAAAATTTTTGGCACTTACAAAAAATGATTATATGTAAAGATTATAAAGATATAATCTTTAGTTTACAGTCTAGTTTAGTTTAATGTTTTAAAAGTGCCTCACTTTCTTAACACTTTATAACAATTTTAGTAATTTTATGAGGGCTGCTAAAACAATCAGGAAGTTTATACACACATACAAAAACGACTAAAGGTCAGTGGATTAGGGACTGCACATTACAGTTGCTTTGCATGAAGAATTTCAGTAACATTAACTGAGAATTTACAGTGGATAAAACACCGTTACCAGCACTGTGGGTTCCTAACACCTAGGAGCTGATAACTTAGTGAGGGAGGCATACATAAATATCGACACTATATGGCAAATATTAATAAGTCTTTAAAGTACAAAGTCTAAAAAAATATGGGGAACGGTGAACGTAATTTCCATTGGAGAACTCTTGGGTATCTGCTTGGAGAAGGCAGATTTTGAGTTGGGGGAGTTATATGAGGGATATTCTGGAAACAGAGGCTGGCAAGGCTATGGAGATAACGGAGGTGGGAGAGGAGGGAAAGGATTATTACACTAGTAGCCTAAGAGACGAATCAGTAACTGCCCGAGGGTTGTCTTCAGGCCTGCCCTACACTGGGTCCGTACCTAATCTCCTTCTGCTTTATCAGGCTTATTGAGGTTCCCTGTTCTACCTTCCAAGCCTCTGCCTTATCTGATTCCAACATGCAGCTGCCTCACCAAGCCTCGGGCTCACCCACCACTATGGATTATACATTCTCCTACCTGCCAGTAGAGCCAGCTGCGTTTTATGGACGAGGAGACAGTCTTAAGTGATTAAGTAATTTGCCAGAACTGAAGCCAAAGCCTACAATATACTGTCCCCTACAAATGACAACATTCATGCTAGATTAATTTTGACTTTAAAGGCTAGACAAAAGCAATGCGAGATTTTCTTTTTCACATTACCAAGGGAATAATTTGGTGAAGGTATTACATTCTATAACTTTCAAAAATGCTAGTTTTCTGGGAAAATAGACTCTCTCCTGGCATTAGTTTATATTATTCTGCAACTAGCTTGCCTAAAATTTTGGCAAATGTCTATTCTTCACATTTTATAATTTAGTGCACAGTGGGAAAATGATGGAGTTTAACAGAATTTTTTCTCTGAGGTTTGTGTTGGATATCAGATCCTTCTAAAAATAAGTTAAAGGAACCAGATTTAATAAAGACCCAAATTTTTTATATTCAAACCAGGAAAATGGAAATCTATGTAATGAATTGAAAAATAACAGCCAGGGGCTGGCCCCGTGGCTTAGCGGTTAAGTGTGCGCACTCTGCTGCTGGCGGCCCGGGTTTGGATCCTGGGCGCGCACCAGACGCACTGCTTCTCCAGCCATGCTGGGGTCGCATCCCACATACAGCAACTAGAAGGATGTGCAGCTATGACATACAACTATCTACTGGGGCTTTGGGGGAAAAAAAAATAAATAAAGAAAATTATAAAAAAAAAAAAAAAAAAATAACAGCCAGGGCCGGCCCCGTGGCTTAGCGGTTGAGTGCGCACGCTCCGCTGCTGGCGGCCCGGGGTTCGGATCCCGGGCATGCACCGACGCACCGCTTCTCTGGCCATGCTGAGGTTGCGTCCCACATACAGCAACTAGAAAGATGTGCAGCTATGACATACAACTATCTACTGGGGCTTTGGGGGGGGGGAAATAAATAAATAAGTAAAATTATATAAAAAAAAAGAAAAATAACAGCCAAACCAACAAATAAACCAAAACAAAAAGCCCTGATTCCCACAAATAATAATAGCAAACATTTATAGTGCTTATGATGTGTCAGGCACTATTCTAAGCAGTTTGCATCCATTACCACAACACTGTGAAGTAGGATGATTATTATCCCACCTTACATTGGACAACACTGAGGCACCAAGAAGCTAAGTAACTTGCCTAAGGTCACATGGCTAATAATTAACAAAATCAGAGTTCAAACTTAGGCAGTCTGGCACCAGACTCCACACTTTTTATTACTATGTGTTACTTTCTATTCTAAATGTCTTTACCTAATAAAATTATGACATGACACTACGAAAGTGGGAGGTGTATAACTAAAGTTGTCCTATCTTTTCAGAAACTTAAATGGATTTTCTTACAATCAAGTGCCTTATTTAGCTTCTATGTCATGTGGTGAAGGCCCCGGAGTCTGCCCTTCCAGGGCTATTTACTACTGCTCTGTGTCCAGCTGCAATCATCTTTCCCTTTACAGGGAGCTGCTGTGAAGCAGAATCATAATTGTTTTCAAGATCACAATTTTTAAGAATGAAACTTGGATGCTCCAGGGCAGAACATTTGTTCATAGGGAATATAAATACATCCCTTGTTTGAATTCCTTTCTTACCTACTTTCTCCTTTCTCCTCAGTAAACATCATGGAGAGAGAAAGGAAGAAAGGTGCTATACTAAACCAGAGAAAAAATGAGCTGTAGAATATTTACAAAGAAACACAATGTTACTACATTTACATATACAACATCTCTATTCAACTTTTTATAGTGTGAGGTGGCATAAAAAGATCTGGAAGCTCCATACAAACTGTTCAAAGTGGGCCGGCCCCGTGGCTTAGCGGTTAGGTGCACGTGCTCCGCTACTGGCGGCCCGGGTTCAGATCCCGGGCGCGCACTGACACACTGCTTCTCCGGCCATGCTGAGGCCACGTCCCACGTACAGCAACTAGAAGGATGTGCAACTATGACATACAACTATCTACTGGGGCTTTGGGGGAAAATAAAAAAAAAAAAACAAAAAGAAAAACTGTTCAAAGTGGCTGCCCCTTAAGGGTGGGGGTAAGGGTAGAATAGTTAGAAAACGGCCTTCTATGTTTCTTGAGACACTTTTTGTATTGCTTCTTTAAAAAATGCAAACCTGCATTACTTTGTAATTAAAACACAAAAAGAAAAATAATTAAAGTAAAAACAGGGCTGGAGTCTATGTAAAAATTTTAGTTCATTAACTGCCAATAATTATAGTAACCTATAACACACTATAATAGAACAGGATGACCAGAAGTACTCTAATGAACATCTTTTCACATCAATTTTGCCCAAATTTTAAATTATTTTCTTAACAATCCCCTGAAGAGAAATTACTGGGTCAAAGGAAATGGTAAAATAAAATATAGTAATGCATATGATCCATTAAAATGATTTTTATAAGGAATTTAAAATGAAATAACACAAACACGCAGTGAAAAATCCAGAGATAGAAGTATTTAGATGATGGTATCACCCACCCACCTATCCATTTATCTAGGAAGACACAGATGGAAACTCACTTAAATCTTAAGAGTGGCTCTCTCTAGGTGGTGGGATTATGGGTGGACTTAATTTTCTTGTATTTTTCTACATTTTCAAAGTTTTCTGTAATAAGTACATATTTTTATAATAAAATACTTGAAAAGCTGTATTAAAGGGGAAGGAAAATTTTCTAAGTAAAAATAAAATGCTGGTGATGAAAATAACAAGAAACATATTTAATTCTGTAAGATAGCACATGCACTTGCACTAATAGTCCCAAATTTAAATTCTAACCTAAATAAAGATTTAATGCCAACCCTAAACAAAATTTCCCTATGTTGCTCATCTTCCTTGCCCTCATTTACCTCATAATCAATTAATCAGATAAGTGCCCCTACTAGTAGAAATCTCTTGCTCACAGTTCTGTCCTGAGTCTTTTCTTTTCCCTCTACATTCTCACTCATTGAGCGTGCTAATGACACTCCCAAATTTCTGTCTCTAGCTAGGTCTGTCTCCTGCACTTCAGGAGACATTTATTCTACTGCCTATGTTTCTCTCTTCCTGGCTGGTCCTACAAGTACTTTGAAATGTCTAACACTGAATTCTTGTCCAACGTTTAACACGTCCAACACTGAATTCATCATCTTCCTCCTGAAACCTGTTGCCCTTCTTTATCTCAGTGGATGGGATCACCATCCACCCACTCAGTTACTCAAGCCAGAAACCTTGGACTCCACTTCCTTCTCTTCTCTCTACACTGAATCTATCACCAGATTCCATTAATTATGTCTCTAAATTGCTCTTGAATTTGTCCACTTCTCTCAGTCTCACTACATTACTAACTCTGGCACTCTGGCTACTATCGCTTCTTGTTGTAATAGCTGCCTCAAGTTTTGCTTCCTCCTTCAATCCCTTTTCTAGATTTCTTAAAACCCTTAAATGGTCTCCAATGTTCGTAGGATAGAGTCCAAACTCTTTAACGTGGCTTACAAGACTCGACAGGCTCTTACCCTTGCTTCCTTCTCCAGTTTTCATTTACTACAGCTCCCCTACTGTTACTTAACATTATGGTCATCCTCCACTTCATTCAGTTCCTAGAATGTGCCATGCTCTCTTCCCTCTGAGCCTCTGAAGACATGGTTTCCTCAAGATGGATCACACGACTCAGTCCTAAAGTCTCAACATAAATTTAACATTCTTTAAGAAGCTTTCTCCTTGGGGCCTGCCTGGTGGCGCAAGCGGTTAAGTGCGGTGCGCTCTGCTGCGGCGGCCCAGGGTTCGCCACTTCGGATCCCGGGCGTGCACTGACGCACTGCTTGTCAAGCCATGCTGTGGGGCGTCCCATATAAAGTGGAGGAAGATGGGCACAGATGTTAGCCTAGGGCCAGTCTTCCTCAGCAAAAAAAGAGGAGAATTGGCAGATGTTAGCACAGGGCTGATCTTCCTCACCAAAAAAAAAAAAAAAAAAAACACCTTTCTCCAAATCACCTTTGACTCTGTCTTGAAACCATAAGCACTGGGTGTCCCACCTCTAGCTTTCATGGCACCCTACCACAACTAATACATTTATCACATTTTATTGTTAGTGACTCCATCTGCATCTTCCACTAGACTCTAACTTTCAAGAGGCCATGAGAGTAGGCCTGTTTCTAACTTGTTCATCTTTTATCATCAGCACCTAAAATAGTACCTGACTCATAGAACTGCTCAATAAATATTTGCTAAATGAAGAAATATAAAACTATTTTTTAAAGATTTTATTTATTTTATCTTTTTCCCCCCAAAGCCCCAGTGGATAGTTGTATGTCGTAGCTGCACATCCTTCTAGTTGCTGTATGCGGGACTCGGCCTCAGGATGAACGGAGAAGTGGTGCCTCGATGCGCACCCGGGATCCGAACCCGGGCCACCAGCATCGCAGCGCGCGCACTCAACCACCAAGCCACAGGGCCGGCCCAAAACTATTTTTTTAAAAATGATGATGAAGAGCACTTTTGGGGATATGACTTTCAAAGACCAGTTGTAAAGTGTGTATTGTGTGACATACTTTTATTTTTACAAATCTATAAAAATAAAAACCTCTGTGTGGGTGTCCTCCTCACGGAAAAGTTACAAGCTATCTTACTAATTTAGTCAAGGACCTTGTAGCCATAAACTAATTCCATGGGTATAAATATAAGTTGAGATAACGGCATTGTGACGTATTATTATTTTATCCAAATCTCAGAGACATTACAAGATTTACTCAAAAGAATTCTAGAGTAGTGCTTTTCCAATTAACAGTAGTCTAATTTAATGTGTTAACCGTCTCTTGTTAAATAAAGAATAAAACCAACCACAAGATGGATATGAACTTTGAACTGTTTATCTACTAACAGAATTGCAGCTATTCACCCAAAGTATCTCTATTTTTGTTCATGTGACCACTGACACACATGCATGAGGGTGGATGGAGGAGGGCAGTCTGTTGTAATAGGGCAAAGCAGGGCTAACTGCCTCATGAAAGGATCAATGCCATGACCCTGACCTCAATAGGCTAGGGTTTCTTAACCCTCTTTAATTTCAGTGCAAACAAACCCTACTGGAATACCAGGAACATTTAGGAAAAGAAGAAAGGGGTTTAACTTCAGTGAAGAAATAACTCAAACATAATAGATTCTGGTAACAAGATTTTCTCTGCTCTAGGAATTTTACAGAAATGTCAATCTTGATCCATTTAAATCTGAAACGAGTGTTCTATTTAATATAGTTAGGCCCATTTAGATGCTGGAGAAAGTACACTTGTTATCTGCAAAACCTTAGGACTCTTACTATAAATAGCTAATGTCAGTCTCAAAATTCAGTACTTAAACACAGAGTTTTGTCTTTCATGAAGTCTACTTTTGTGTGGATTTTGAAAACTCATGTTGAAATGCTGCTTTGGTTTTCCCTGATGCCCTCCCACTGCTTCTCGGTAGTTTTATCTGAGTCACCAGGATTTTGGCATCAGATTGCAGTGGGGATGAGAACTGATGATGTGGCAGGTGGACGGTAAGGGGGCAGTAGTGGAAAAAACTGACGAATCCTGACAGATCCAAGCTAACTTTCTGGCACTTTAAAGCTGTGATATATATAGGCAGTTCCCAGCCAAAGTTAGTGAATTATGTCATAAGATAACTTGGTAACCGAAATATAAGCACATACCTGATAGGTGCTACCCTTCCAGAACCTTTTCATTTCCTTACGTCTCCAAGCAACAACAGAGGCAGTAATAAGTGTGCAAGGTACCAAATAGAGGAGAGCAGGTTGCCCCTTCTTCATCAGCACCAGAACAACAAATGTAAGTATCATGCCAACAGCATAGGCTGTAAAAAGAGCACCAAGTATCAGTCATTTCAACATGCTACCAAAGATCTATTTTCACTTCCTCACTGAAGTATTGGTTTTCAAATGTTTCTGAGGACATTTTTGTCCTATGACTTCATAATTTCATTATTTTCCTAGACAGTAATTAGGAGAGATATTCTACAGAGCTTTTAAAAAATTTGGAAACTGGGGGGCCTGCCCGGTGGCACAAGCGGTTAAGTGCGCGTGCTCTGCTGCGGCGGCCCGGGGTTCGCCGGTTTGGATCCCGGGCGCGCACCGACACACCGCTTGTCGAGCCATGCTGTGGCGGCGTCCCATATAAAGTAGAGGAAGATGGGCACGAATGTTAGCCCAGGGCCAGTCTTCCTCAGAAAAAAGAGGAGGATTGGCATCAAATGTTAGCTCAGGGCTGGTCTTCCTCACAAAAAAAAAAAAAATTGGAAACTGGTATTTCAATTATAATTACCCTAATCATTGTTAAAGATAATTCAAGAAAGTCTTCGATTATCTGTCATTATTAAGGATGTTGAGTTGTTCCACATTTTAGATAACTAAAATCTGTACCTGTAGGTACTAAAAGTTGCTTTGAAAAATCTTCCTAATATTGATTATATACTTCCTGGGCTTCTTCAACAAGTGCATACCAAACATCATTTGATTTTTTATTAATGACTCAGAGTATCATTATGAACACAGGATCTCAGAATACTGGAGCTGGAAGGGCCTTTACAGTCTTGTCTACCTCCTCATTTTATAGATGAGGCGATGGAGGACCAGGGAAGTTAAGTGAGTTGCCTGAAGTTACACAGCAGAATTGACAGACAGTCCTATTATCTGCCTTTTCATTGAGTGTTCTTTTATTCTATAACACTGACTGGTGCTGGAATCTAACATGTTAATGCCCTTACAGAGTACCATACTTAACTGTCTCAGATTGCTTTTCTTATTTCTTTATAGTTTTTTTTTCATCTTTTCACTCACTGAGCTGTTTTTTTTTTTTTCTTTTTGGTGAGGAAGATTGGCCTTGAGCTAACATCTGTTGCCAATCTTCCTATTTTTTTGCTGCGGAAGACTGGCTCTGAGCTAACATCTGTGGCCATCTTCTGTTTTCTATGTGGGATGCTGCCACAGCATGGCTCGATGAGCAGTGTGTTGGTCCACGCCCGTGATTCGAACCTGCGAACCCCAGGCCACTGAAGTGGAGTGCACAAACTTAACCATTATGCCACTGGGCTGGCCCCCACTTAGCTGTTCTTTTTTGCTTCAGGGTACCTATTTCTAGTAACACCCCTCTCTACTGCTAACACACTTTCAATTCACTGGATTTAATTCCACTGTGGAATTGAAACCCTTACCAGAATGGTATCTAAACGCCTCTGGTGCAAGGCATGCACCTGAGAATAAAGAATTTTGATGTATGGATTTTGAGAGATCAATTTGATATGTTCAGTCGTAGTAAAGTATTTTTTGGCTTACTTCCTGTTCTCGTCTGTTCTCAATAACAGAAATAGAGGGATAAGTGACAACCACCTCTGCTGCGCCAAGTGAGATGTCATTGTGCCATAAATTCAGCTACATAAATACTGTTATCCATACAGTATTTTTTTTTTCCCCCCAAAGCCCCAGTAGATAGTTGTATGTCATAGGTGCACATCCTTCTAGTTGGTGTATGTGGGACATGCCTCAGCACGGCCGGAGAAGCGGTGCGTCTGTGCGCGCCCGGGATCCGAACCCAGGCCGCCACTAGCAGAGCGCGCACACTTAACCGCTAAGCCACCGGGCCGGCCCCATACAGTATTTTTTAAAAATCTACTATTGTACGATTTATTGCCTACCTATGTGCCAAGAGCTCTAATCATTTTACATATAGAACTTAATGTTTTTCTTTCACATATAATTTCCTTTTTAAACCTCAAAAATGTTGTGATATAAGTAGTAAAGTATAATTATCTCTTTTTGATGAAAAAAAGTCTTATTAATTAATGGTGAAGAATTAGAACCCAGGTCTCCTTAATTTTACATCTCTACCTTTTCCTACAGATAATACAATTCAACATAAAAGAAAAAACAAAAATTTACCAATTGTAGAGGAAACATAGTATATAGAAGAACCAGTCTGAACATCAAATCTTCTACAGTATGCAATCAACAGGCCTAAAAAAAATCCCACATTATTTTCTTAAAACAACAACAATAACACAAATTCAACTGTTAACTAGGGCAATAGAACATGTTGTACTGTATTTTAACCTTCATTTTTGCATCATGAGAACATTAAAGTACCTCAAATTCTGGATGAAATTTTACATGCTTTTTTTTCTTTTTACTTAATACCATATTTTAAACATTTTCGCAAGCCATTAAATAGTCTTTAAAAACATGATTTTCATTAGCTGCTTAATAGCCCATGTCATGGAGAAAATTTTGTATATTTCTGTGGTATCAGTTGTAATGTCTCCTCTTTCATTTGTAATTTTATTGACTTGGGTCCTCTTTTTTTCTTGGCTAGTCTAGCAAAAGATTTGTCAACTTTATCATTTTAAAGAATCAGCTTTTAGTTTTGTTAATCTTTTCTATTGTTTTCCTGTTCTCTAGCTGATTTATTTCTGCTCTAATCTTTATTATTTCCTTCCTTCTGCTAACTTTGGGCTTAGTTTGTTCTTCTTTTTCTCATTCCTTTAGGTGTAAAGTTAGGTTGTTTATTTGAGATCTCTCTATTTTTTTGATGTATGTGCTTATCTCTATAAACTTTCCCCTTAGAGCTGCTTTTGCTGCATCCTGTAAGTTTTGGAATGTTGTGTTTCTCTTTTCATTTGTCTCAAGATACTTTTTTGCCTTTTAATTTTTTTCTTTCATCCATTGGTTGTTCAGGAGTGTGTTGCTTAACTTCCAGGTGTTTGTGAATTTTCCAGTTTCCTCCATTACTGATTTCTAGTTTCATACCATTGTGCTCAGAAAATATACTTGATATGACTTTAATCTTCTTAAACTGGCTAGGATTTATTTTGTGGCCTACCCTTATGATCTATTCTAGAAAATGTTCCACGTGCACTTGAGAAGTATGTGCATTCTGCTGTTGTTGGATGGAATGTTCTGTATATGTCTGTTAGGTTCATTTGGTCTATAGTATTGAGAAAATTTTTTAAATGTATCATTAAAAAATGTATTTAAAGAGCATCGAGGAAGGCAATTTCATATTGCGATTAAAGAATATCCCTTTGTAGTAGAAAAAAATGATTTGGAGTTTTAATACAAACAGTTCAAATAAGAATGAAATAGAAGCTTTCATTTGTAAACATGCAAGTATGTTTGTAAACATGCATAAACAACTCATTTTATGACCTATTTCTTTAAAGAAATTTGTTGAACCTCTCTAAAGAAGAAATCTCAGATTGTATTTATTAAACATGGCTATAAAATAGTAAGAATAACATTTAACTACTTAAAAATCACAAAATAATTTTACTATATTTGTTGGTTGCTTGAATTACTTAGTTTTGGCTCCTATATAATTAATCAAATAAGTTTCTTGATAGTTCCTTAGTTTTACTATATTTGCTATTTAATCACATTTCCACATGTTAAAAAAATGGTACTTTTCCCCCCCAAATTAGAATTTAGCTTTTAGAATTAAGTCATATATTGTCAAAAACTCTGCTCTTTGGGGAAATATTCCTGTTTGGGACCTTTGACATTGTCTTCAAGAATGTAATATTTATACACATTTTTACCAATTCTATGCTAAGTGCTATATACAAGATTTTACACAGCACTTGGTGTGGAACTGGTAAAACTGGGGAAAAGTTTAAAGATATTCAAGAAACCTAAGGTTACTCAACAGAATGCCTTCCCTCCTTTATCAATTAGGTGAATGGAGACCCACTGAACTAAGAGAGCTGCTACATTGGACTCTGCCACACCAACTCACAAAGCAACACTGCCAGCTTCTCTCCCTCTACCTGGCTTTATTCATGAAAATGAAAGGGCTTTTTCAGAAGAGCCAGTACTCTTTACCCATCCACAGGCCTTTAGTACACAGGGAGACTGTAAGAAATGTGAGGAGGGACAAACTCTCAGCGGACTCTTTTAAACTATATTATTACTGGGCTGCAGTGAAGTTTATTCCACAGGTAGCCCAGTGAGGAAAATAATGCAGAACTGCAATAACTGTCAGAAAAGACATGCTAGCAGAAGGTGGTTGATTCCACTACACAGTGTATTTTCTTGTGTTACAGTGCCCTGTAAGCTGGTGTTCTACTATGTTTCTCCTTTTGAGCATGACCTCACCTAGTATTCCTAAATTACTTTTCCTAAAAACTATTATTTTAAAATAGAATAGAAACTGTAATACATTTGGTATTATTAAATTCAACTTTTAAAGGGTTTTAATATATATATTAAATATATATATATATACACACACACACACTTTCTTGAGGAATAAGGTCAAACTGATCCCATTTGCTTCCTCTAAGACACTTTTTGAGCTCTGGGAGGTATACTTTAGTTGTTTCCATTTGGACTTTATCTTCTACCCCTCAAAACACTTTTTTTCTGTCTTTGTCACTGATCCCAGCTCTAGTGATAGCCAGAAATACTTGATACAGAGTAGGTAACTTTTAATAGTTACTATATATTTGACAATTTTAAACTGTTAGTATATTTTTACTGAAAGTGTTACAAATAATTGCTTACCTGGTACAATAATGTCTCCAAAACCCAATATTGAAACTGGCATGAGGCACACACTCATTACTGAGAAATAGGCCAGCTTTGGTACTCTGATGACTACTGGTAACTGTAATTATATTAAAAAAACAAAACAAAAAAGGCCACCAATAAACCTTTAAGGAATCTTTACCCATATCTTTTAGAAAGGGAAGGATTCATATTAATTGTTTTAACATTTTTAAATTGACATTTTAGAAGAACTTGAAATCAGAGAACATAAACTAGACATATATATACTCCAAATGCATAGAAAGCTTGAAAGAAATAGATATGTAGTTTGGAAAAACGAAATCCAACACACATGTAGGGTTAACAGTATATTACTACAGTATCCCCACATCTAACCTTTTTTTTCCCTTTTTACCAAAAATAGGACTCAGGCCTTGAAACAGATTTTTTTTTGTGGCAATCTGGATTTTTTTCCCCAAAGAAGAGTCTTGTCTCAGAGGGTATGATTTAAAGTCCAATGAACATATCTGAAACACAATTCTTACTTTCTCATGGGGAGCTGAGGGTTGAGCAGTGGCTTCCACCAAGTTTCCATCATTCTAGGATGAAACCCAAGTCAATAGGTATTTAATAATTTAGAATAACTAAGAAAAGGGCTATATTTTGTGAGAAATAAAGTTTTACAATACCTTAACATGCACTATATGACCAATGAATTACACAAGAAGGCAAAATTATTAACCGGACACACATACATTCACCGGCCGCCATGTCTAACTGCCATCCTTACCTTTTCATTATTTCCAAAAGGTCCAGCTGCAAGTTCAACCATGATACTCTCGCCATTCTAAAATTGAGAAGGGAGATGAAAGATATTGTCCAATCATTTAAAGACAACAAGCTGCCAGTATTCAAGAATGATTTGACCCCACGGCTTATGGCCTACTGTGAACTAATGATGGACTGCAGACTGCCTTTTACCCAAAAAAGTCTCTGCAGATGGCAAAAACTGGAGACATCTAAAACAAAATTCACCTAGCACACTTCTCCCCTTTATTAGAGCTCAACAATGATCAATCAGAAACTAGCAGATAAACCACACAGGTTGTTCAAGTGAAGCTTTGAACACTGATTTGTACTGACAACTAATATCGAGCATTTCTAATGGGCTATAAATTTTAAGTGCTTTTAGTTATATTATGTCATGTACTATACGTCCTTGGTCATTTTTAGCAATAACAATGAATAGAGAGACAAGAAATACCAACATTTTTTATATTTAGATTTATAATAAATACTGGTAACTTTTTTGAATAAATGTACACTTGACCTTCTGGCTACTCATCACAGTAACAAAGCAACGAAGCCAAACTTGAAAAGACCCAGCTCTAGAGAACCTGAGAGGCTTCTCTAGCATGATTCTTGTCCAATTTCAGCCCTGCCTGCTTTTTATGTCCCAATCAAAACACTAACCTTGGCTGAATTTCCTCCCTTGTGTCTGGCTAAGGTCTTTTTATGTGGGCTGTGTGAGGTGTTCATTAGAAAGTTTTTTTCCTGACAGCCAAGTCTGTTTTAGAAAGGGGGAACATGTTGAGGCAGCAAGCTAAGGCTGCATGAGCAGCCATCTGATGCTTCACATTATGAAAAATATATCACCAAGACAGGTAGTGGGAAGATAAATAAACAAAGAATTTTAGGAAAATTTGATTGACTAACTATAATATTTTCCATGTGGGTGGGATGCATAGGAGAAATGACTTGAGTGTTTTTAAGAGGACTTCACTGATACCTGAGCTGAGCAGAAAGAAGGATAAAACCCCCGGCGTCAGAAATCTTTTCCTTAGGTTAAGCTTCAGATTACAGAAGGGTTAAGTCACAGGAGTTTAGGAAAATTAATATAAATATTGTTCCTTATAGCAAACTCCCATGATGTGATTCAATTTCCAGATAAAGAGTTCATTTTGGTTCATTTTCTAATTGTTATTTAAAGATTTTATTTATTTTATTTTTTCCCCCCAAAGCCCCAGTGGATAGTTGTATGTCGTAGCTGCACATCCTTCTAGTTGCTGTATGCGGGACTCGGCCTCAGGATGAACGGAGAAGTGGTGCCTCGATGCGCACCCGGGATCCGAACCCGGGCCACCAGCATCGCAGCACGCGCACTTAACCACCAAGCCACGGGGCCGGCCCTTCTAATTGTTATTTAAAACATTTAACTAAAGACCATCACTGACATCTTCTCATACATTCAAAGATATCTGAGTAACTACTATTTGCAAAATACTATACCAAGGACAGCGCTGGCTGAAAAAAAAATGAAGATAGGCTCTTACTGCCTGTACTTCTATGGCTGCCTGCCTTGCCAACTCGTTAAAAGTCTACTAATACCAGGGTCAAGAACGTGATTCAAATGTGCAATATCTAATCCTTGAAATTTTCAGTGAAAACCACAAAAATCAGAATTACAGATCTGATTTTCACTTGGAGTTACCTACTAAAGTAAGGTCTATAGCCCTAATAAAAATGAACACACCAGACCGAGAAGTTGTTAAAGTAAATCTACAAGAGTGACCTCCAAAGAGCACTTCAATCCTTTCAACTGGATCAGATTACTAGAAATCACATTCCTAGTCAGTGAGAACGAAGATGGAAAAAAAAAAAAGACAAAAAATTCCCTAAGCACGGAAGAAAGACGGCTCAAAGACATCTTTATCATTACCTTATACCTTTAAAATTCTGAAACTTTTTATCTGTAGGAAATGGAAATGGTTTGCTGCCAGACACAAGTGGCATTTATAAAGTGATACTAGTATTAAACAGAACAGAAAAAAACCTTTAAAAAAGAGTTTAGTCATAGTTTATTGCTATATCCATAAACTATAACACATGTGTGTAATATACGTGTAATCTATGTGTCATAAGCCAAGACTATCTGCTGATTTATGGGAATGGCTTTGCAGAGAGAATGCTTTACTTTCATTATGGGATCTCTGATGGAGTGACTTACAGAAACATTTTTTTGAACCAAATAAATTGATATAAGCTAAGACAGCTTTAGACAGAACTTTAAAAAACGCTTTAATAAATTAACAATTTTTGCTATAATCCATAATACTAGTTTTATGCTTTTTTAGGTTACTTTTGCTCAACAAAGTCAATGAGTCAAATGGCTCATCATTAAGACATGAAAAGGTGCTAGTATAACGACGGTTTGGGTAGCTGTAGTTTGGGGAGGTTAACAACATTTGTTACCGAGTTGCAATTTTAGCTCCCCATAGGGCGTGTTTGTCTTATGCTAGTACAGCAAATATCGCAAGTGCAGAATTTTACAGTGATTTCAGATGGAAGGCGCTGAAAAATAGATAAAGAACTAAGGGGCAAAAGGTAGTGATTATAATATCAAATACTACATATGCGAGAGTGACAAAGAATAAAGAGATGATATAAAGTAACAAAGCAAGACTCAAAATGGGGAAAGTGAGAGAATTAAGTGATAATGAAACATTCATGAGACAAAAATAGGGACACGGTAGAAAAGTTGGGCAAATAATGAAGGACTACCACATTCACCCAACACCTCTCCCTCATTCTGGGAACAGCACCACCATTTTATTGAGGAGCTAGCGGCAGAGCTTGGAATAGAGGGACTAGAAGCTACCAGTTGCTACGATTCTAACTAACCTCATGGAAAAAGCTAGTCTGAGACAACGAGCAATTGGACAGAAGCAGAAAGGGAGAGCATGTGCCCCTGGGTCTAGTTTCAACTGAGGCCAGCCTGGCCTCTATAAACAGCCCGGAGAGATGGGACCTTTTTGGTATAGAAAGGTTAGGTTGGGTGCTGTCAGTTCCAACCAAGAGAATTCTACTGATGGAAGAGGAGGATGGAATGCTAGCAATACTCTCTCCCACAGTGGATTAGGAAAGGGAAGCACAAAGGGCAAAGTGACTTGCCCAGGGTTACAAGGTTACAGAGCTATACTTCAGATTTCATGTGGCATTCTTCCTTAGTCTCAAACTAGGCTACAGAAATGAAAGTAGCAATGACACATTTTCATTCTTTTTGCTGTCTGTATTGTCTATAGCAAACATTTATTGTTTTATAATAAGAAAAGTTACTTTAAAAGGGTAGGAAGAAAATTTATAGACATTTTCATGTTTACATCAGTTAGGAGATATTTTTTATCTAGCAGAATGGCTTAAAGCCTTAAAAATATCCTCTATTGAAAGGTTAATATCAATGACAGTTTTCTTAAGAGAATCAGAACTCGCTCAATGGTCAATATTCACAAAATCAATAATCTAAGAGCAGGTTTAAGATTCTCATCTTTTAGCATGTGTCTCATGCATTTCAAAAATATCATACCTTTGTGATGAATGGTGTAATGAAAACAAAAAATACGTCATAGAGGAGGAGAAGGCCTAGAAGTATCACACATGACTGCGAAAAAAAAGAAACAAATTTAAAGGTCAAACTTCCTATATCTAAATTAACAGATCATATTACTTTGCAAGTACAAATAAACATGTGAACATACATTTGAACACTATTTTTGAAAAAGGGATTTAATGGTTATTACTATTTGTAGTTTTATTCTACAAGTCACATTAAAACTTTTACCTTCTTCATCCCATTTTTTTCAAAAAACAAATCACTGAATCAAAGAAATGTTCTTCCCTGATATTTAGTCCTGTAAGGGTTTTATGAATTTGTCATATTATATAAATGATTTAAAAATATTTTAGCTGGCAAATCAGTGGTTGCCTGGGGCTGGGAATTAGGACTGACTGCAACAGGGCACGACAGAGCTTTTACAGAGATGAGAAATGTTCTATAATTGATTGGGATGGTGGTTACAAAGTTATACATGTATAAAATGTCAATAAACTGTACTCTTAAAATGGGTGCATTTTATTATATGTAAATTATACCTTAAAAAAGTTGTTTTAAAAAGAAAAAATGATTTTAGCCAGCAAAGTAGCATACTTTACCTTGAAGTTGGGTAACTTGAGTGTTTTAATTAAATTCAGACAGAAAGCAATCCCCAAGATATCCTGTAAAATCCAAGCCCACCTAAAATTAAAAAAAAATTACTGTTTTATCCAGTTAGTTTTATTTTTTTTTTATTTTTTAAAATTTTTTGTTTATTGCAGTAACTTTGGTTTATAGCATTGTATAAATTTCAGGTGTACATCATTGTACTTCTATTTCTGCACAGATTACATCCTGTTCACCACCCAAATACCAATTACAACCCATCACCACACACATGTGCCGAACCATCCCCCTCGCCCTCCTCCCTCCCCCCCTCCCCCCAGCAACCACCAATCCGATCTCCGTCTCTGTGTGTTTGCTTATTGTTATCACTATCTACTACTTAATGAAGGAAATCATACGGTATTTGACCTTCTCCCTCTGACTTATATCACTTTGCATAATACCCTCAATGTCCATCCATGTTG